AGGACAGTACACCGACGACCAGGTGTTTAACATGGACGAATCTGGTCTTTTCTGGAGAAAACTACCTTCCAAGTCCTACGTTGTGAAGAATGCCAGCAGGATTCGGGGCCGGAAAATGCAGAAGGAACGCATCACCGTCCTGTTTGCCACCAATGCCTCTGGTACCTGTAAGCTCAAGTTATCGGTGATCCACACAGCCCGCAAGCCGCACGCCTACAAAACCATGGACATGACCAAGCTAAATGTCCACTGGCTGACAGCACGTAAGGCATGGATGTTCTCTACACTGTCCCTCTCCTGGTTTGATGACTGTTTTGTTCCCGATGTAAAGAAATTCTGTGAGCAACAGAATGTCCCATTTAATATTTTGTTGCTGCTGGACAACGCACCAGGACACTCGCCCCTACTGTTAGATCGTCACCCCAACGTAAAAGTGGTCTTCCTTCCTCCCAACACTACGTCTATATTACAGCCCATGGACCAGGAGTTGATTTGCAATGTGAAAGCTGCATTCTCAACAAAAAAATTCCAGCTCCTGAACGACTACACCAACACCAGGGAAGAGTTGCGTGACCTGAGTGACACCACCACCGATAGCAAGAGCGACGAAGATGAGGAACAACGGTTAGAACAGCAAAAAATACTCTTCAAACAATTCTGGAGAATATTTAACATCAAGAAAGCTGTGGACATCTTGGTGGAGTCATGGGATCAGCTGTCTATTGCTACAATTCGTCACGCATGGAGACATGTGTTGCATGGAATACCAGGTGAGAGGAGGAGTCAATCTGTGACTGGTGAGGTTCAGAATGTTGCAGTAGCAGTGGACCTTGCCAGAGAAGCTGCGCAGACTGTTACAGTTCCAGGCTTCTCCGAGACCACCAACGACGACATCCTGGAGGTGATCAGAGATCCTGAAGTGACTGCCGACGAGATGATGGAAGAAGAACACGTCAGTGAAGAGGAGGAAGAAGGTGCGGCAGTCTCCGAAGAACACAGTTTAAGTCATAGTGATATTAAGGGTGCCATGGAGTTTGCAGAGAAATGAAGTCCGTCCTTTCCCGCGACAATGACGATGACGCTATGAAGTCTTCCATAACCGGCTGGTGCAGGCTATGGAGCCGTACATCAAGGTGTATCACGACAACATCAACGCCAGCCGTCAGCAAAGCATAACAGATTTCTTCACCCGCAACCCACCACAGCCAGCCCAAGCCAGTGATAGTGACAGTGAAGTTGACTTTGAGGGATTTGTCAGGGAAGCCCTGACAACTGTAAGTGACAGTGATGATGATTCACCTAGTAATGGTGATTCACCTGAGGGCCAATAATCTGCCCTCTGCCTCGGAACCAGCCTCCATCCCCGTATGCCGACCCATCTCTTCTACTACCGTAAGTGTTACACCAAATTTTTAGTTTTTTAACCTATTCTTTATTTTTCCTATGTTAACCTTTATCTTTCCTAACCTAACCTCTTCTATATTACTTGTTTTTTCATACCATCATAAAGTTAAGATAAAATTTTTACTACAACATAGTTGTGTGTCGTCAAAAAGTGGAGTTTGGGGATCGGCCTGGACTCCATTTCAATTAATCCCATATGTTATGTTGTTCACTTTACCTTCCTCACTTCCGCTTCCTCACTTTCCGCGGGACCTCCTCCAACTTTAAATGTGAGACCGATATATATATATATATATATATATATATATATATATATATATATATATATATATATATATATATATATATATATATATATATATATATATATATATATATATATATATATATATATATATATATATATATATATATATATATATATATATATATATATATATATATATATATATATATATGTTATATATATATATATATATATATATATATATATATATATATATATATATATATATATATATATATATATATATATAAAACTCTTCTCAACAAATGCAAGGATGTTGCCCTGTGAGAGTTACCGTGGGCCTCCATGTGCCCAGGTGGGATGGTCAAAGTATTACACTATAAGTGTGTCAAATGAGGAGTGACTGATCCACATGTAATTTAAGGTTTTGAAATATGTAGTTAAATTAAACACGATTTTTCATATAGTTACGCGAATGATGGGAAATAAAAGATATAGATGGGGTGTGGTGGAATCATCGTGGTCTGGCCACAAGCGCTGTAAACGACATGTGGATTCACTGGGTGGTTTGGAAGTGTTTATTTCCATTCATACTTTCGTAACTACAACCTATAGTAATTTTTTCTTCGTGTTCATATACTATGAAGATAATGCAGAGTATAAAATGCCATATACAATTTTTATACATAATACTATCATGTATACTGCCGTACTATGACTGTGTTGTTCGTGCGTGTGTTGCCTCGCTTTAGTTAGAGTGGGGCCTCCGTCCAGAAAGGACACTGTACTAACCTCCAGCACGGCTTCTGTCGCAGTGATTGTTGCGGGTGGTTTCAGAGTCAAGGGTGCAGATTATTTTTTTAGTGAGTGTACATCTGATGTAAAGTGAGATGTATCTATGGTTTCTAAACACTGGTGTTGGTGACTGGAACTTGTCCTGAAATGAGTTATTCTTACCCATATGTGCAGTATCATAAAAGGGATACTTTAAATATGAGAGATGGCACTAAAGTCTGAATGATTGGAATCTTAACCCATACAATAACATGTGAACTACACTACCCTCATATATCTTGGTTACAAAGTATTATTTTGTTGTTCATTCCTCAGTTTCCTTCATGAGAACAAACAACAGATGGTTCTTGCCGAGCTCTGTTTCTGGTGGAAGCTAAAAGTCACCCTCAACCTTTTGTGTATTTCTTCAGGTTCACACTACATTATAACCATGCAGTGTTAAGTTCAGTATTAGTGATAAATGTGTTTTACTTCTGATTCAAAAGTGTTTAGTATTGTGTAATGACCCAGTTTGACATTGTCATGTGTGTTAATATGCAAGATCTACACAACTTGGCACTGTTGACTCTCTTCATGATGCCTAACCAGAGTTGTAAAGTAACTAAATAAATTTGCTTGAGTACTGTACTCAAGTAACATTTTTGGGTACAGTATATACTTTTTAAAAAGTACTCAAATTTATAAGCAGTTTTACTTTTACTTAATTTTGGTTTTCTAATACTTTTACTTACTCCAGTACAATTAAAAATAAATAAAATTCGTTACTAGTTACATTTAAACTAATACAGTAGGGTTGGGATATATTGCGAGATAGGGTATAGTCTGGTTTTATGCGTACGGCCATTTACACGGCACCTGTTCAGAAGAGATAATTATTATTTATGCGGTAAATGCCATCATATACGCGGCAAGCTGCGGAGCAAAGTGCTGGGCGCTGACGTCAGACTCACGCCGGTGACGTCGCGGACTGTGATTGGGCCACGTATCCTTACCACCCATGCACCCCCTCTGCCGCGCGCTGTGATTGGTCTAGTTATCCTTGCCACCCCTGCCACCCACGCTCTCCACCACCGCCGCATCAGTCTCACTGTCCCCGCGTATATTCACTCGTGCCCAGGAACCTGTTCTGTTTTTTTCTTTCTACACAATGGCTTCCGCTCGACCCCCACCACCCCTGAGATACCCTGAACTACCTGGCCCAATTCGCCCCAAGCCCAAGAAGGTGCGACGCGCCTTAGCTATGAGGGAAAGTACAAGATCGTCCAGGAGTTAGAAAAAGGCACGAGACAGGTGGATCTGGCCAGACAATATGGAGTGAATGAATCGACGATCCGCATTATCAAGAAGGATGCCGGCAAAATCAATGAACACATGAACATTACCAAGTCTGTAGGTGCCTCGCTGGTCAAATATTGCCACTTTAAGACCGAGAGTTTGTTGGTAAGCTACATTATTCGTCAGTCAAGAAGGAACATGGCGGTCGACACTCGGGCACTGCAGGACTACGCCCAAGAACTCTACACAGCAGTGGCAAGAAAAATGGGGGTTGCGGAGCCCAAGCCCTTCAGTGCCTCTGCTGGGTGGCTGCAAGGTTTTAATCTACGCAACACGATCACAAATATTGAGATAGTCGGAGAAGAAGCAAGTGCCGACCGGGCTGCCACCAGGAATTTTCCCCAATTTTTACTGGAAATTATGGAGGAAGGACAGTACACCGACGACCAAGTGTTCAGTATGGATGAATCGGGTTGTACTGGAAGAAATTGCCATACAAGACCTTCGTAGTCAAGTCTGCTTGCAAGTGTCAGGGACGCAAAATGCAGAAGGAGCGCATCACCGTACTATTCACCACCAATGCTTCTGGCACTGCTAAGCTGAAGTTGTCTGTGATCCACAAAGCCCGCAAGCCGCATGCCTACAAGAATATGGACATGGGCAAGTTAAATGTCCACTGGCTAACCTCAGGGAAGGCGTGGATGTTCTCTGGTCTGTCCCTCTCCTGGTTTGACAACTGTCTCGTAAATGATATCAAGAAATTCTGCGTGGAAAATAATGTGCCATTCCTTCCCGCTAACACTACGTCGTTAATCCAGCCCATGGATCAGGAGTTGATTTGCAACGTGAAGGCTGCTTTCTCCTCCAAGAAGTTTACGCTCCTGAACGACTTCACCAACACCAAGGATGAACTGCAGAACCTAGAGAGTGGCACCGATAGTGAGAGTGAGGACGAGGAGCACGAACAAAATTTGGCAGACCATGAAGTCCAGGTCAAGCAGTTCTGGAAGCTGTTTAACGTGAAAAGGCTGTTGATTTCTTGGTGGAGACATGGGGGCAGCTATCTGCGGCAACAATTCAGCACGCCTAGCGGCATGATTTGGAGGGTATCCCGGGTGGGAGACAGAGGCAAGCAGTGGCTGGCGAGGCTCAGTCTGTTGCTGTGGCATTGGAGAATGCAAGAGAGGCTGCACAAAGTGTTAGAGCTGCAGTCTTCTCCGAGACCACCAACAACGACATCCTGGAGGTAATCAGTCAACCTGAGGTGACTGCGGACGAGATGTTGGAAGATGATGACATCAGTGAGCAGCGAGGTGTTACAGAACAACAAGAGCAGAAACTAACACATGCTGATGTGAAGGAGGACATCAAGTTAGCTGAGAGAATGAAGTTCATCCTTGCTAAAGACCCAGTCAATCACCTCTACAAAGTGTCTAATAACCTTCTGTTGCAATCCCTGGAGCCCTATGTTCAGCTGTATCACGACCACATCAATGCTAGCCGTCAACAAAACATCACCGAGCTCTTCACCCGCCAACCACCACAGCCAGCCCAAGTCAGTGATAGTGAGGATGTGGACTTCGAAGGGTTTGACGAGGAGGCCCTGCTAGCCTCTGTGGTGGATAGAGATACAGGTGAGGGCCAATAATCTGCCCTCTGCATCGGAACCAACCACCAATCCCTTGTGCCCAGCCATCTCTTCTACTAACGTAAGTGTTAAGAAACCTAATATTATTTATATTTCTCTTATATATTAATTGTGTGTGCATACCATCATAAAATTAAGATGTTATTTTTACTACAATGTACGTATTGTGCCGGCGATAGCCAAAAAAAGGGTAGTCTGGCGGTCGGCCCAGTCTCTATTTCAATTAATCCCATATGTTCTGTTATTTTATTTACGCGTTTCGCTTTATACGCTGACTTCCATGGGTTTAATTAACCGCGTAAAACCAAACTATACTGGTACTTGTAATCAATGGGGAAAATAGGATTAGGTTCTGGGGGCCAATAAAAGTGACTAAACTTGACATAAAATGGCACAGTCTAAAGTTAGCAGAATATAAATTGCATTGCTGGAATCCTTACAAGACACTGAATAATTTGAATGTAGACATTATATATTTTGCACAAGAGATATAAATTTTAGTCCTTCTGTACAAAAATTTATTAAATTATTACTAAAATTTGTATGTCTATTGCAAACTATAGCATGTTTATATTCAAATTAATCACTATCTTACAAGAATTCCAGCAATTTTAATTATATTCTCTTAAGCCAATTCATTGACATTTTATAAAAGAAAAACATAAACTCCTCCTATACGACAGATAAATAAATACCACTAGGTAACTGTTGTCTGCGCTCCGGTCCAGCTGTCATAATAAATCAACTCCTTTCCGATTTCCGGTAAGGGTGACTGTAGTTTTTGGCTTAAACTTTTTATCTTATAAAATGTCACAGTCTAAAATTAGCATAATATAAATTGTTGCAAGACAGCGAATAATTTGAATATAAACATCATTTATTTTGCATAAGATAATTTTTTTTAGTCTTTTCGAGTACATTTAAGTACAGTAAAGCCTCGAATAACGACGTTAATGTGTCCTCCAATATTGCAGTGTAAGGTGAATCGTCTTATCGCGAATCAATGATTACCATTAAAATAAAGCAATAATAATGAGATGCGTTCCCAAGTGTGACCTTTTCATATCTTTTGTGTTGATTTTACCCTCTTTTCCCCCAAAAACAAAACAATTAATGAAAATTGCAAATTAATTTCTTTAAATAATGTTTCTGAATGCACCTTATACAATATAAATGAAGAATAATATGGTCACACAAGAGGAGAAGGGACGCCATTGTTTTCGTTTGTGTTTACAGCCGGGAGTCCGAGACGATAGTTCTACACGAAAAAATGAAGAAAATAAGACCCTATTTGTAGCTGAAGTAAAATTAATGTAAAAAAAATAATACAGTAGTACCCTCATTTACGCGGTCAATTGAACCCACAGGGTACCGCGGAAAGCGAAAACCGCGTAAAGTGAACAACAGAACATGTGGGATTAATTCCAATAGAGACTGGCCCGACCCCTAAACTCCACTTTTTCCGACACTACCTATGTTGTAGTAAAAATAACATCTAAATTTTACGATGGTATGCTCACACAATTAATATTTAAGAGAAATACAGTCACCAGGTTTATGTCCATTCAAATAATGGTCTCACATCCCCTCTTCCCAGCTCACTAGCTCCTACCTCTCTGAGAAACGATTGGGTGAAAACACTAGATTTTAACGTTTAGTAATAAATAATACCTCAGACTAAAGTTAGGGTAATATAATTGACATTTCTGGATTCCTTGCAGGTCAGGGAATATTTTGAATGTAAACTTCATATATTTTACACAAAAGATAAAATATTTGCTTTGTGTAAACCAAATTATTACATTAGATCTAAAATTTGTATGTCTAATGCAAAATCCATGATGTTTATATTCAAAATGATCATCATATTGTAAGAATTCCAGCAATGTAAATTATATTCTGGTCAAGTAATTTGTATGAATTTTATGAGCTAAAACAAATATCTTCAGTTAATAAAAAAAAAAAATATTCTTCACGACACTATCTGTCAATCAAAGTACCCCACCTTGCCTCCCCCCCTCCTGACACTCACACCAGCTGGGTCGGTCGGTCCCAACCCTCCCCCCCACCCCCCACCTTCCCTCCCTACCAGAGAAATGTTGGGTGAAAAACTAGATTTTAACTTTTAGTAATAAATAATACCTCAGACTAAAGTTAGGATAATATAATTGACATTTCTGGATTCCTTGCAGGTCAAGGAATATTTTGAATGTAAACTTCATATATTTTGCACAAAAGATAAAATATTTGCTTTGTGTAAACCAAATTAGATCTAAAATTTGTATGTCTAATGCAAAATCCATAATGTTTATATTCAAAATGATCATCATATTGTAAGAATTCCAGCAATGTAAATTATATTCTGGCCGGGTAATTTGTATGAATTTTATGAGCTAAATAAAAAAAAATAAAAAATAAATTATATTTCACCGCGTATATGAGTAGATGCACCGCGGAAAGTGAAAGTCCGGTTGTGGCAAGGTACCGCGTAAATGAGAAATCGCGGAAAGTGAAACCGTGTAAAGCGGGGTAATACTGTATATATTTTTTAAGTACGGTAATGTTATTTAATGTTAATAAATGGAACAATAGAAGTAGCTAACCACTAATGGCAAAGAGAAAAAAAGAGAGATTGGTAACGCCAACATATACGTACATGCGCATTTAAGGATACCGCGTCATTTATCTTTTTAAGAATACTATGTACAAGATTCATTATTGTTTATTACTGAATATGTATTTGATTGAATTAATCCTTTTATATGTGAAATGAACAATACAATTCATAAATAATACGTAAAATATTAAAAGAGACAGCATTGTTGTCAGTGTTTACACCCATAATTGTCAGTTATCCACCTGAAACTGAAGAAAATAAGACTGGTTGTTGTTGAAGTAAAATTAATGTAAAAAATATGTACCTGTATGTTTTAATTAATGTTATTTACAGGAGTAATGTACAGTAGAAGTAACCACTGATATTAAAGAAAAAGTGAAACTGATAGTGGAACACCAGGGTACACATTAACACAGACACATAACAGAACACAAACTGGGGAAAGAATTCAAACCGAGCAGTGCCATTGTTGTTGTGGCTGCTACCAGCTGGAGAGCTGAGTCGCCAGCCAGTGGTCATATACCTACCACCAGAAACCACACAAAATAAATTTTATAATTTCGGTAAAAATATTTGTTGTGCGTCACAATTTTTCTTTTGAAAATCTTAATACATTAACCATAATTCAGATGCATAACTGAACACAAGCTTGGAAAAGAATTCTAACTGATCAGCACCATTGTTGTGGTGGTTGCTGGCAACTGGGGAGGTGAGCAGCCTTGTGGCTACCTCAGAGAATCCACACAAAATAATTTTACAATTTGGGTAAAAATTTGATTTAAATATTTTTGTTTTTTATTTAAAAAAATTACAAAATCCATAAGGGTGAATTTCTGTAGCCCAGGATTCCATAACATGGGGGATGCCTGTATTATAATGTTTTTAAAATAAATAATTTTAGCATACCCTGTATATTTTTATTTACTTACCTTCAAAGGTAGCGATGCTTAGCTTGATTGGATTGATGGAGGTGGGTGTTGGGAGAGGAGGATTAGTCAGAGGATGAAAAAGAAACAGGACTAGGTGGATTGTCCACTCCCACTCCTCTTCTAATTTTACATCTACAGTCAACCCTCACTTTACGCGGTCCCACATTCCGCGTTTCCAGTTTACGCGGTGCCCTGCCAGAACCCAGGATGCTCACATTCCGCGGTGGGTGTACCCCTTTACACGGTGAAGTATAATTTTTTTTAATTTAGCTCATAAAATTCATACAAATTATCCGGCCAGAATATAATTTACATTGCTGGAATTCTTACAATTTGATGATCATTTTGAATATAAACATCATAGATTTTGCATTAGACATACAAATTTTAGATATAATGTTTACTCTTGAGTAAATATGTTATCTTTTGTGCAAAATATATGATATTTATATACAAAATATTCCTGGTCTTACAAGGAATCCAGCAATGTCAATTATATTATCCTAACTTTAGTCTGATTTATTATTTATTACTAAAAAGGTAAACAGTCTGGTATTCCCACACATTTATCTAGTAGGGACGTTGGTGGGGGGTGGGAGGGAGGGACCGGCGACCGACCATCTGTTACCGTGTGAAGAATATTTTTTTTTTTTTATTAACTGAAGATTTTTATTTTAGCTCATAAAATTCATACAAATTACCCGGCCAGAATATAATTTACATTGCTGGAATTCTTACAATTTGGTGATCATTTTGAATATAAACATCATATATTTTGCATTAGACATAAAATTTTTAGATAAAATGTTTAATCTGAGTAAGTATGTTATCTTTTGTGCAAAATATATGACGTTTATATTCAAAATATTCCTGGTCTTACAAGGAATCCAGCAATGTCAATTATATTATCCTAACTTTAATCTGAGGTATTATTTAATACAAAATGTTAAAATCTAAATTTTTCACCCAACATCTCTTGAAGGGAGGATTGGTGGGGGGTGGGGGGGAGGGTTGGGACTGACCGCGCGGTTGGAAGAGGGGGGAGGCAAGGTGGGGTACTTTGATTGACAGATAGTGTCGTGAAGAATATTTTTTTTTTTTTATTAACTGAAGATATTTGTTTTAGCTCATAAAATTCATACAAATTACCCGGCCAGAATATAATTTACATTGCTGGAATTCTTACAATTTGGTGATCATTTTGAATATAAACATCATATATTTTGCATTAGACATAAAATTTTTAGATAAAATGTTTAATCTGAGTAAGTATGTTATCTTTTGTGAAAAATATATGACATTTATATTCAAAATATTCCTGGTCTTACAAGGAATCCAGCAATGTCAATTATATTATCCTAACTTTAGTTTGAGGTATTATTTATTACTATACCTGGTTTTCCCCCCAAAATTTCTCAGAGAGGGAAGAGCCGGCAGTGTAGTGTGAGAGGGGGAGGGAGTCGTGTCCATTATTTGAATGGACATTAACTTGGCGACTGTATTTCTCTATTTCTCTTAAGTATTAATTGTGTGCATGGACCATCATAAAATTAAGATGTTATTTTTACTACTACATAGTTATGTGTCGTCAAAAAGTGGAGTTTGGGGATCGGCCTGGACTCCATTTCAATTAATCCCATATGTTATGTTATTCACTTTACGCGTTTCTCGCTTTCCGCGGTACCCTCCGGGTTACATTAACCGCGTAAAGTGAGGGTTAACTGTATACTATAGCTAGTGTGCTTCCTTTTGAGCACCGCACCACCCTGTTTGGGTTGGACACTCAAGGCTACAAAAATTATAAAATAATTCACCACAACATGCACGACAAGAGACAACAAAGACAGGAAGTAAACACAACACAGCATTGGACTGGACGAAACAATGTGGGAGACTTTTTACGTGGATGGTCACAAAAAGTTGACCATGTAACTGCGAAACCCAAAACAATTTGCTTCTTAGATCAGCTGCCTTCCAGGTACACTCCCTTCTATGATATACTATACACTTGACAACATATGAGAAATGTTATTTTTCCACAGTCCTTGTTCTAAAATTAGAACAAGGACTGCGGAAAAAGAACACGAAAAATACCAGTATGTACATCCACGATTCTATGTTTACTAAAACATTCCTCCACTACAGTAGTATAATACACACACTGCCAGAAAACTTAGATTTTAGCTGCTTTTTTATGCTGTAAAAGGCTAATAACACTATATCACCTTATAGATCACTTAATAAAAACTACTGAAACTGGTATAAAACCTAAAAAAGATAACAAGAAAACACAGGACTGTTTACCTCTCGGCACACCAGACATGAGGGAGGCATCAGCTGAGTGTAGCTGACCTGGCGCTCAATGGATGGTAGCTAACAACGTCTGGCACGGTTTTCAAGGATGGAGAACTATACATAATCCTCCACAAATCCTCCCCTGGCTAAAATTCCTCTCCTGGGGTCCAAGTGGACCCAATTGAGAATCACTGTTGTAAATACTGTAAGTATTTTGTCTCAAGGAACCACTCGGGTGAGTGCGCACCAACAACAGTTGCTGCGGACCACCGGGCCGCTATCACGACCTACATTGCCTCAACACACCGACCCCAATGAACTTTAAGGACATTAAATAGCTTATAAATTTAAATAATTTCTTAAAATAATGTGTTTTCAATGTTTAGCAAATGTTTTTAAGGTAAGTAATTGTTAAAAAAAATTGATTGTCGTGTACAATGTCATGGTCCCAACTTGACCTATTTCCATTATTTCTTATGAGATTAATTCCCCGCTTTAAGTGGATTCGTTATCCGTGGCGTTTTTCTGGTTCCAATTAAGCGCAGATAACGAGAACTCCCTGCTATATCAGAATATTGATGTAGGCTGATAAGGGATTGTAGTTAATATATGTATTCTGTATCTCAAGCACATTTTTCACAAAGCAACTGCACACTTTAAATATGATTAATGTGTATATATTGGAAAGGATAAATATGTGTGTGTGTGTGTGTGTATGGAGTTATAGAAATGTTACCTTTTCTTTTAATTCCAGCAAATAGAAAAGCCTAGTTGGCGGCCACCAAACTGGGCTTTTGGCCCAGCATGGACATATTTGTACTCTACCATGGGTTATGCATCATACCGTGTGTGGTTGGAGTTATACAAGCCTAACCTCCTCGCACTGGCAGACCTACCTCTACCCCTCAAGTTATTTCTTTTACAAATTCTGCTGAATTGGTTGTGGACACCCATTTTCTTTGGCTTGAAGAAAGTTGCTATGGTGAGATTTTTTATGTTCTCCAACAAATATCCATACTAAATGATGATTTATTTGTTTCATTACTTACAGTACCTGTACAAGTTATATGGAATATTTACTATGGGTAAACATCATAGTAAGTTCCCTTATCATAGTCTGCCAGAATGGGTGATATGCACCGTCCAAATGGAAAGGCTGATGTAATTTTTATGTACCTGTATTCTCGATAATCGCTGATCTGGCTTATCACGGTATCCTCAATTGTGACCATGCATGCGCTTATCATTGATTGATCTGGGTTATCAGGGAATTATAATGGAACAGCGGTGGGTCCGTGAGACCAACAGCAGTAACAGCGACTGCCAAGAGATGACAGCCTGGCTCGTGATGCCAGCTTCCAGCAACAGCCGAAAGCATTTGTTTCCCAGCACTGTTTTGGTTGGTGTTTGAAGACGGTTTCCTGCTCCGTGCTTGTTTTTAGTGCAATTTTTGTAACTTTTACCTACCCTCCACCATGGCACCTGTGAGCAAGAAGATTGTTAGGGTTCCTGATCCAGCCAAGTAACGAAGACGTGTGTATTCTCTGGTTGAATGTTCCGATGTTCCCGACAAGAATAAGCGTGTACTTGGCAACACACCCATTGCATGTTACCATTTCCTTCCACTCCACCTCTCTAATCACTCCCACCTTTCTGCTTTCTCATTCCACATTTGAAAATTTATGTAACGTAATATGGAAAAATACGACATTGTTCATTTATGCTTGCACTCAATTTTGTGGGTAGACATCAGCTGTTCAGTTATTATCTGGCAGATGCTGCAGCCAATGTTACCAAACAAACCAATTGACGCATCATATCCTCACCATTTACCACAATCTCTCCTCCACCACCAGCTCAATGATCATCACCACTACCTCTATTATCACCACTTGAATCATAATTTCAGTGATGCAGAGATGGATTTGCTTTAGCCAGAGCAAATCAGTATGATATCCATGCCTTCCACCCATACCACCTCCCGCCCTCCCTCTCTCCCTGATGGGCGCACAAAAATTTATTTCCCTGTACTGCATATATTATCAATATGTTAACTAAATTTTAAAATGACTAATAATTTTAATATAAAAAATGCAAAAATATTAAAGAGCACAACTTTCTTGATATTTACTCCACTGGAAACGAATGTAAACATAGAACAGATTACTGAATTGGCAGACTAGCCCATCAGCTGATCAGCTGATGCTCGCAACAAAACGTGTTTGTCGTAAGGATTTCGTTAATCAAAGTTTTGTTCGTTAACCGAATTGAAGATCCTTATGGGAGGTAATTCGTTAACCGAAATTTTGTTAATCGAACCGTTCGTTAACCGAGGGACCACTGTATATATATATATATATATATATATATATATATATATATATATATATATATATATATATATATATATATATATATATATATATATATATACAGTATTACCCCGCTTAACGCGCTTTCACTTAACGCGTTTCGCATATACGCGGTGCCTTGCCAAAGCTGAACTTTCACTTAACGCGGATTTTTCCACAGCAACGCGGTGAGTGTCCGGCTCGAGAGCTATTTTTAGATTCGCACCACCCCCCACCCGCCACCCTGCCTGACTGCCTGTTTTAGCTCATAAAATTCATACAAATTACCCAGCCAGAATATAGTTTACATTGCTGGAATTCTTATAATTTGGTGATCATTTTGAATATAAACAACATATTTTTTGCATTAAACATACAATTTTTAGATAAAATGTTTAATCTGAGTAAGTATGTTATCTTTTGTCCAAAATATATGACATTTATATTCAAAATATTCCTGGTCTTACAAGGAATCCAGCAATGTCAATTATATTATCCTAACTTTAGTTTGAGGTATTATTTATTAAAATTTAGTGGTTATCCCACACATCTCCTTGGGACGGTTGGTGGGGGGTGGGGGGGAGGGAGGGACCAACCGACCGACCATCTGTTACCCGTGAAGAATTATTTTTTTTTAACTGAAGATATTTGTTTTAGCTCATAAAATTCATACAAATTACCCGGTCAGAATATAATTTACATTGCTGGAATTCTTATAATTTGGTGATCATTTTGAATATAAACAACATATTTTTTGCATTAAACATACAATTTTTAGATAAAATGTTTAATCTGAGTAAGTATGTTATCTTTTGTCCAAAATATATGACATTTATATTCAAAATATTCCTGGTCTTACAAGGAATCCAGCAATGTCAATTATATTATCCTAACTTTAATCTGAGGTATTATTTAATACTGAATGGAGGATTGGTGGGGGGTGGGGGGAGGGTTGGGACTGACCGCGCGGTTGGAAGAGGGGGGGAGGCAAGGTGGGGTACTTTGATTGACAGATAGTGTTGAAGAATATATTTTTTTTTTTATTAACTGTAGATATTTGTTTTAGCTCATAAAATTCATACAAATTATCCGGCCAGAATATAATTTACATTGCTGGAATTCTTATAATTTGGTGATCATTTTGAATATAAACAACATATTTTTTGCATTAAACATACAATTTTTAGATAAAATGTTTAATCTGAGTAAGTATGTTATCTTTTGTGAAAAATATATGACATTTATATTCAAAATATTCCTGGTCTTACAAGGAATCCAGCAATGTCAATTATATTTTCCTAACTTTAGTTTGAGGTTATCCCACACATCTCCTTGGGACGGTTGGTGGGGGGTGGGGGGGGGAGGGAGGGACCGACCGACCATCTGTTAGCTGGCTGTGTACTGTAGTGTGAGAGGGGGAGGGAGTTGAGTCCATTATTTGAATGGACATTAACTTGGCGACTGTATTTCTCTTAAGTATTAATTGTGTGCATGTACCATCATAAAATTAAGATGTTATTTTTACTACAACATAGTTATTTGTCGTCAAAAAGTGGAGTTTGGGGGTCGGGCTGGGTTCTATTGGAATTAATCCCATATGTTCTGTTATTCACTTAACGCGGTTTTCACTTAACGCGGGACCCTCTGGGTTCAATTGACCGCGTTAAGTGGGGTACCACTGTATATTAAATGCATCTTCCGAAAGCGTGAATTTGCTCCCATAGTTTAACAGTTAATACATGTATAATACTTCTGATAAACTTCTTACATGTTTATGTTTGAAATAATGAATGTATGTATCTTTATATAATTTAGCTAAATATCGTTCTCGTCAGAAATGGTCATCCCAACGATTATGAACAAACTCATTTAGAAATGCATCATTACTTCAAGACGAAATCGGACAGATTTGAAACCGCCAATCATCTGTAACTCTTGAGGAGGGGGCAGAGCATCTTTTCTCAGCTGGGGAAAAACCACACTATAGTAATATATCTTTTAGTGTACCTACACATTTTTGGGGGTGTATTTTGGTCTCTTAGGGGATACATCTTTGGGACTGTGGGACAAAACTAATTTTTCACATATGTTATGTGTTTCATTATGTACGGTTTTGCTTCTCATGGTACAGGTAGTTTTCTCGATCCTAACCCCAGCGATTATCGAGGATACATGTATTGTAAATAATTTCAGATTCTCTTTTTGGTGAAATATGGCTATGTTTAGGGCTATTATCATAAATCATCAAGTTTTAATTACAGAGTATTGGACATTTTTAGTTTTTTGTGTTAATCCAATGAAATGGGATGAATGACAACCAGTCCTGGGGTAAATCAGACCATTGTTATCATCGTTAATAAATTTTAAAATGGTAAAGTAAAAAACAAATTCTACACTATTGTATATGCTATACACTTTGTAACTTATGGCCATATTTAATCATATTTACACACAGCACTACTTGTTAAATACTAGAGTTACAATAATTTGAAATTAACAGTGAATCATGGCGATATATTCTTTTTTATTCATCTGTGTCCAGTTGTTGAGGCAAATGATTTGGTACATTCAAGGGGTCCCTGGGTTACAAACGGGTTCCATTCCTGAGGACGTTCTTAAGTCGGATTTCTTTGTAAGTTGGAACACATGTTATGTGCATACCATACTTACAGAACAATGTTTAAAGTCCCACTATGTCATCAAGGGCAGATCCAGGGGGGTCCAGACCCCCCCTTTTCACCAGAAAATTCCAATTCCTTTTCTTTAATGCTGTTGTACTGTATATTGTACTCAGGCTTTTTTGTATAGTAAAAATTATTTACTACTGACTTAACTCATAATGTCAAGTGTGCATGGCTTCAACTCAAAATGGCCTCAAAGTGCCATGATATTAGTCAGATTTGAAGAAAAAACAGCTGGGTGCGCTCGCTGCGCTCACCATGTTCCCCCATCCGCGACTTCTTGGACACCCCTCCCTCCCTCTTTTGATATTCCTGGATCTGCCCCTGATCATAGCCTAAGTCCTTATAAACATTTAAAATCACTTAATTTAAGACAAAGGTGGAAACAGAATGACAAAATACAGTAAATGAAAGTAAAAAATAAGTCATTAGGTAAATAACATACCGTACCTTAAATTTCAAGTTTAGCGCCGTTCGTAAGTCGGATGTTCGTAAGTTGGGCTTTCGTAAGTTGGACGTTCATAAGTCAGGGACCTCCTGTATTCATCTAAGCTGCATCCTGGATATCAACATTGTTCTGTTTGATTACAACAGCAACACTAACTCATAACGGTAGTTACCTTTTCATCTCATAGCTAAATTTCTCAATTCTAAATGAAAAGGAAAAGTGTGTTGTGTTTTAAGATAGAAAGATAATAAATCCACCATAGTCTTCTGTGACTATCCTTCTGCTTTGCCCTGGTCATAAAAAATGTAGCTGGTTCTAAACTTTATTTTCAGATTTCACCACTTGCTCCTCAGACTAACTGTTAAAGCCATATCAGACAGACAGAAATTTTGTTGCTCTAGATAATAACTGAACATTAGAATTGAACAACTCCAAATAGCCACAAAATGTAGGAGTTAAAAACTCGAGGCTTGAGGGCCTTAACTTGTGTAATTATTATATAAAAAAATTGAATGAATTTGGAAATCTTTTAGGTCTCTCACCTCAGTCCTTGCCCATAAAATGTGATTTCATGCTACTAATGCTGTACTGTACAGTATTTACTTTTCAATATATTTTCTGTTTCAGGCTGTGATTGAGATATGTCTTCTAGATGTTGCAGTAATAATGACCATGTTTGCATTTTTGGAGGTTGATAGCCTGGCAGGACTACTATTTCTACCATATCTAGCCTGGCTGACTTTTGCCACACTTCTCACAGTCTCTATTTGGAAGACAAATCCACAGTGGTGCTATGGACCCCTATCTTCAAAGGAAAAATAATTTTTATGACAAAGGGAGACCTTAGTCATGAATTAATTGATGTTGTAAGTCTTCCTGTATTTGCTGTTTAAATATTTATGTAACACAGTTGCATTTGATCTGTATTTTGGTAATACAGGTATGTAACAAACTATTTAATAATAATAAATAATAATGATAATAAACGGTTTATTAATAGAGTTGCAGCCGGTGGCTGAAAATATACAGACTTACATTTGATTTAGACATAATGATATAATATGCATTGAATACATTTACAGGGCTGTACAGTACATAAATCAGGAGTTGTTTATTATTTTAACAATAGATGGGATGGTGCTGTTCTTGTATCTATCGGTGCGGGCTCTTATGGGCTGAATTTTGTTGTAGTGGCAGACTGCGCGAGTTGGGTGGGGGCTGCAGGTGGCAGGAGGTGGCGATGACGAGGGTGGTGCAGTAATCCACTGCCAAACCTTTCCAGTGCTTGGTGGTGGAGGTCACTGAGGGATGGCATTTCCAGGGTGGCGAGAGCATTGGTGTAGCCGGAGTATTCTGCACCGAGCATGATTCTGCCGGCCCTTTTCTGTACCTTCTCTAGCTGACGTTGTTGGGTGGAGTTGAGAGAAGACGACCAGGCTGGTGACGCATACGTTAGTTTGGGGAGAATAAAGGCATTGTAGATGGTCCTCAGCTCTGGTGTGGGTGTCCCAAGTGACCTAAGTCGTCGTAGCATGTAGAGACGGTACGAGGCTTGGGATGTGAGGTGAACCTGTTTCCTGGATTTGGCAGATTTCTGATTATAAGCCTAGTACGTACAGTGAAACCTCGTTAAGGTGGATATAGCTGAAAAGATGAGTGTTACCATAATGGTTAATTATGGAAAGTGCAGTAAAAGAGAGAGAAAGTGTGTGTGTGTGTGCATGCATGCATGCGACGGTGTGTGTGGTTGTGGAGGTGTGCGTGCGTGCATGCGTGTGAGGGTGTGTGTGTGTATTTGTAGATGTGTGTGTGTGTGTGTGATGATAATAATAATAATAATAATAATAATAATTAATGGTTTATTGAGAGAGCATGGCAGCCAGAAGGCTGAAAATATACAGTTACATAATTGGGGAATGGATCACTTGATTGACAAATAATATACTGTACAAGTAACATAAGTGATACAAACTTGATATATAATAACAAGGTGGGGTGAAGGTCATACTACAGGACATTTCAACATAGAAACAGTACGAAAAGGTAAGATTGGCTGGGAGTGAACACGCTGGTTGACTACGAGATGTTGATAATTTTTACAATATTTGGGACGGGGCTGTTCTTATAGTAATCAGTATGTGGTCGTATAGGCTGGTTGCGATTGTGGTGTCGAACAGCAATTCACACACGAGGGATCTTGGATGGAAGCAGGATCCGGTGTTGAGGATGGTGTAGAAGTTTCTCACCAAATTTGCAGATGAGGTTGTGGTGATGATCAGAGAAAGCCGAGAGGGTCAGTGTATTCAGCGCATCTTCATGTGTGGAGTGAGAGGGGGAGAGAATAATCTTGCATGCCCTCTTCTCCACTTTTTCTAGATGTTTCTGTTGTGTGGCATTTAGGGAGGAAGACCAGGCAGGGAGGCATAGGTGAGCTTGGGAAGCATGAATATTGAGTAAGCACTGAGTAGCTCAGGCGCGGTAACTCCGAGGAACTTGAGTCAGCGGAGGAGATGGAGACGAAAACTGGAGGATTTGACACTTGTACTGATGTGTGTTTTCCAATTTAGTTTGTTATCTATAGTTATGCAGAGGAGCTTGGTGGAGTCCATAACCTGGAGTGTGTTGGGGCCCAAAGTAATGGAGGGAGGTGGGATGAGGTCAGAGGGGAGGTTGATGTGCATAACCATGGTCTTGGTATGGTTGATGGTGACATGGTTGTTGATGGCCCAATTATGGAGACTGTTCAATATACAGGTATTCTGGAAGGCGGTGTAGTTGTGAGCCGAGTTGTTCACACTGATCCCAATGGTGGAGTCATCAACATATTTCCAGCGAGCACAGGTGTCTCTGAGAGCATCATTGATAAGCATGAGGAAGTAGAGCTCTCCCATCTTGGTGTTTATATGATTGAAAAGTGGAGACAGCCTCTTGGAAGCATGCGGTTTGGCATCGGTCACTAAGGAAATCTGTAAGTCATGGTATAAGACTTCTCCAAAACCCGTGGTGATTAAATTGTGGTCAACTAGGTCAAATGCCTTGGTGAGGTCAATGAAGGCTACAACCACAGATGTCTTTCGTTTTTCCAGATGGCAGTATATTTAGTCAAGAAAGCTGACATGACAGTGAGTGGTGGAGGAAGTTTCATATTGCCAAATTGCTGGGAATCTATGGCACCTGCAATATCAACATAGGCCCAGTCAAAACTGAAACTTCGCAGATTAAGCTGGGTATTGGGACGATGGCAATGGGTCATAGCTCATTTAAAGAATGTGGGATCGTTGACTTGGGCACTGGTGACACATATGAGGCCTTCCAGTCAGCTGGGCATCTTGCTTGAATGAGGGAAGTATTGATGAGGAGCAGAAGGGTTTAGCTAGTTCTGGGGAGAACTCTTGTCGACTTTCATTGATAAGTCAATGGGGGTGGTGGAGCACTTTAACTTCATTTTGTCCAGACGTTTTGCTACTTAAAATGTTTCCACTAAGTCAGTGGGAAAGGGGGCTGGAATGTAAGCAGGGAGTCTGGTTACGAAATGGTTGTCTGATTGCCTAGCTGCGTCACCATTAGTGAGATAGCTAAGGAAGGGGAGGGGGGTGTGTCTTATTGTTTAGTCCAGAGTTGTTAAGCATACCATACCACTGACTGATGTTGATCTGTTTCAGGTGTTGCAGCTTGGTTGGGTAGTAAGACTTCTTTGCAGTGCATATTGCACGAATGACTTGGTTGCGAAGGCACCTGTAGTGGTTTTGGTCATTGAAATAGAAGGTGCTGTCTCTGATGTATAAGTCTTTTGATCTGAAGTGCAATGCAAGGCAAGTCAGCTGGATATAATCAGACGGACTTCTCAAGGAAGAAGTGGTGGTGTTGGTGTAATTTATTCATTTGGTGTCCACGTCATCAACACCAAGTACAGTACTTCAGTCCAGGGATGGTGAACTATCCACTACCTGAAGAGACACAATGCTGAGTCAGTAATTGGCCTGTAGGTCTTGATGTAGGGTCTCTGCATTTGGCTGGTAGTAGGGGCTGGAGACCAGAACACTGATAGGTGTGTGCTACACCCGATAGGAGGCTTTGGTTGAGGTGGTTGGTACTGGTCCTCTAAGTCAGTTGAGATAAGGTCAAGGGTATTTTGACCGTGTGTGGGGAAGTTCACAGCTTGTGATAGTAGCAGCTGGTCCTCAATATCAGTGGTGTCAATTTCATTATAATCCCTGCATAATACTAGCTTGGCACATGGGTACCTAACTCTGAGGTGGTAATGAGGTGATTGATAAGAATGCCTCTGGTGGGTGAGCAAGGTGGAAGGTATACTACACAATATATGATAGAGGCAGTGTGGTGACGGTGGGCACGTGGCACAACACGTAACCATAATGCTTCCACATCAGCTGGGACTAAAACATCTAGGCATGACGGACGTAGTTCATCTTGACAGAAGAGGGCAACTCCCCCTCCATGTCCCTGTGAATGAAGGTGATGAAAGAGTTGATATCCTTCAATGTGGCAAGTTTCAGGAACAATTTGCCACTCCTCACAGACGGCAGCAACTGACCGGACTTTTGTAGCCAGCTCGTAAAATTTGTTGGCTAGGGAAGTGATGTTGGAGAGCATAAGAAGGGAAGATTGTACCATATTCAGGGAACTTCAGTGTATGGGTACGGTCTGTCAGGAGTGTATTGGTACTGTTTGTCAGGAGTAGGTTTCTCTGGTTTTCTAGTGGAGGTGATAGTCCTTGTCTGCTGCTACAAGCATGGAATACTTTCAATGATTTTATTAGCACAATAACACTGCCATCAGGATATCCATTCCCTTGCTTTAAACTGTACAGGGTGTGCCTGGAGTCCATCAGTGGTGAACATCTGTGGATATCTGCTATTGTGGACGTATTGAAGTGTAGGTGCGTGGTGGCCTTTAACTCAATGGCAGCACTTTGAGGGCCACAGACAGAATTTCCATGGTGTAGTACACTGGTAGAAACCTGTCAATATTTGTTTAGTCGTAAACACTGTGGTAGTCCTTGTTTCTGGCACTTTGAAGGTCACCGGTAAATTGCCCACGGTTTGGTACTACACTGCTCACTGGCGATTTGCTGTGAATCACACCTGTTTTTGTTTTTCCTTAGATTACACTATTGAATCACTGATTTTTATATGTGTGTGTGTGTTTTCTTCTCTTTTCTGTCTCTCATGTATAGGATATATTCAGCACTGTATATTTATCTTAGGGTGTACTTTATACTGTTCTCCATTAGTGCTTGAATAATTTCTGCTCTTACTTGAACTAAAAGCCAATACAGTACCGTACTTCCTTTCTTGTACACCATATCTTACGTTTATTGTGGTCATACAAATCAGCCCAACAGTTTGCAGTGCCACAATAGATCATTTGTGTATGATCTGGTCAGAGTTAATAGGCTTATTTAATGTCTGACAGGTAATGTATTGGACTCATCAAATGTAAACAAAAATAAAAAAACCTTTGATGGTGAGTTTAGATCACTGTTTTGTCTCCTGTTATGTCAAAATTGATTGAGTTTTGCCATTTTTTATCCTTATTATAAACAGATTCAACTGAACACTTTATATGGATGTTTTGTAATTATATTCCTGGTTTCACACTCATTATTTATCCTTTCTCCCCTAATTGCATTTGTATTTTATTTGTGAAAACATGCTGTTCTGACTATTAATTTTCTTATTTCTCATTAATCTTCTTTCTCATTACAGGCTAAAATGAAAGAACAAGAAGAAGGAGAAAAGAAATACAAAGAAATGATGATCCCCCAGAGGGCTGACCTCACACCAACTGGACAGAGCATGAGAATTCTTTTTCGAAGAGTAAGGAAGGCCTGCTGGACTACCACCCCACAACCTCTTAACGGAAGCACGATGCTTATCACTGCTTGCTGGCCAAATATTTTATTAATAATATTGATGTTATTTTGAAGGGATATCCTTCCTTCCTTAGGCTTTAGTAAGCCCCTGTATATTACAGATTTTAATTTATATGTACAGTTGCCTCCATTTATAACGAGTACAGCTGCTGCCGTGTTTTGTGAAATTTGGCACCACTGTGTTTGTTTACGTCATTGGAAAGCGATCAGTATTGGCAGAGTTTCCCCCGCTATAGCAACCAGAATAAGAGTAGTAAATTAGCAGTCATCCTCTATCTTTAAATGCACGCATTTCCTGTATGGCTATAGTTAGACGCTTGTCTACACATCATAATCTGTACCTCTTGTATAGGGATGTTAATTGCTCCTATAAATGTAAAGTGTCGTGGTAAGGGCTAATCACCACTCCATCGTAATACCTGAGGACGTCGGGCGAGGCTAGGGCCAGCCTATTCTTTGGTCTACTGTGCTGTATCAACATGTAATGATAACATGCATAGACTACTTCATAGTTAAAAGGCTTGTTGGCAGTAATATGCTACTGTTAATTGTAAGGTTCACGTCATGTCTACTGATGAGAGCTGTTACTATGTGTGTTAAATGTCAGTTTATTATAACCAACATTCATGACTAAGCATACTATCTTAGAATGAGTTGGTAAAAGTCCATGCAATGCATTACTGCCCCCACTGGACACCCTCACACTGACTCACCACCACCACGCCACCTAAATATTTCTGTAGCAGTGGAGACTTACACAGTCTATCAGTGGTGTTTTAATGTTAGACCACAGATGCGCATAGTGTATCGATGGCAGCATAAACGCGGATAGTGCTAGACATTTCTTATGACTGTAGTGTCAGTCGCGTTCTGTCGTGGTAGCGGTGGCAGTGGCTCTCGCTCACTGGGCGTAACTGAAGCACCTGTTCAAAGTATTGAATCATACCTGAGATTAATCTATTTCTATCTCTATTTTCTCTCGGCTACAGAACATGCATTATAATGGAGGATATCCTACCAAATGTGAGTGTTGGTGCACTTGTCCCTACCCTGCCCCCAAACCCCTCCCCCTTATGTAGTATCACGTCGCCACTCGTCACCGTCCAGTAGACATGAAATTAGCGCCTATGATATTATACATTGTATTCTTTGTTACACTATAGCCATACTGGAAATGCGTGCGTTTAAAGATAGAGGATGACTGTTAATTTACTACCCTTATTCTGGTTGCTATAGCGGGGAAAACTCTGCCAATACTGATCTCTTTCCAATGACATACCGTATTTTTCGGCTTAAAAGACGCACTTTTTATGACAAAAATATACCTCGAAAATTACCATGCGTCTTCCAGGACACTAGCCGATGAGTTGTAGCAGAGGTTTTTGAAATCAGCCCCTTACAAAGACTGTTACCTCATTACAGTACTTAACTATTACAAGTATTCTCTATACAGTACTATAAAACTGTTGATTTAACTAATATTGTTGATATATTGCAAAAAAATAAATAAACCCTTGCTGCTGTGTGGTTTGTTTACTAATGGCACTGGTGCGGCAGCGCCATCTATTGAGGAATTGCTAAAGGTTGTCTGCTGGTCTCAAATGCAGGAATGTTTGTTTCTTTATATGTAGGCTCTCATATTTGGACACCTATTTACAGTAGGCTCTCATATTTGGATACCCATTTAGACTGTAAAAACCCCACAAAATTAAAATCTTCCAAATTTAAATACAACTTCGTCATCCAAGTAAAAACACACACACAACAACATAGGCTGTCATTATGTTTTCAACTTTATTACCACTGGTGGGTAGAATTTTTTTTAATTCCGAAACATTAATTAAAATAAATATGAACAGTAAATAAGTGTTGCTTTCATATTTTTATGTAGAGTAATGATGATATGTTTACACATGTGCTCACTTACATACGTGATTCACTTTTTTTTTTTACCTTTAATTGTTAGCTACTTCCATTGCTCCATTTATTAGCATTAAATAACATTACTTAAAACAACCATACTAATTTTACTACAGCTACAACTAGGGTCTTATTTTCTTCAATTTTATATGTAGAACCAATCAGTCACTGGTTTTGTAAACAACAAAAACAATGACGTCTTGTCTCCTCATGTGTTTTAATATTCTTCGTATTATTAATGAATTGTTTTGTTCAATTTGCACACATAAACAATAATTCAATCAAAAAGAAATTCAGAAACATTAATTAAAACATATATGAACAGTAAATAATTGTTGCTTTCATATTCTTATGTAGAGTAATGACGATATGTTTACACATGTGCTCACTTACATACGCGATCTCACTTTTTTTTTACAGTAGGAGTCCAAAAATCCGGACTGCTTGGGGATTGGGTTGGTCCGGATTTTCGGATTTTCCGGATTCTCAGGCAGTACTTTTAAAATTCAAATTTAAGGAGGAATAAAGAAGAGATGAACAGGTACATTTTGATAGTTTATTCATTAGCAAATATAGCATGCTTCATTTATCAAAACGAGCAGTTTTAAAGAAAAAGCTGTGAATTCTAGAATTTTATTCTTTGCCTTTTTCATATCATAAATTGTAGACTTTCCAATGTCGTATGTTTCCATTAGAACAGTATTGTTCACACCATGTTCTAGTTTCTTAATTACTTAAGTTTGTCTCATTTTCAACGTGTTCTTCTTTCTCTTCACACAATGAAGTTTATCTACTTTAGGAGCCATTATTATGGGTTTGTACAGTACTCTGTAAATGGAAAGAGGACTCAAAATTACATACGTCGTCACAGTTTGATTGCTCGTTTTAAAGTGGCGACCACATGGTCGCTTGTTTTCGCTGTGCAGTTATGGCGCTCACGCATGCGCACATACACAAAAGCCAGCTAAATTTATAAAAAAAAAGTTCGAGTTTTCGAAAAGTCCGGATTCTCGGGTGGTCCGGATTTTTGGACTTTTGCTGTACCACTGTACTCTTAATTGTTAGCTACTGCCATTGTTCCATTTATTAACATTAAATAACATTACTTAAAACAACCATATTAATTTTTCTACATTAATTTTAATACAGCTACAATGGAGGACTTATTTTCTAAAGTTTTATAATTATGTAGAACCAATCAGTCACTGGTTTTGCAAAAAACGAGTTGTTTTTTTACTTTTATTTTGTTTTTAAATAAAGATTTTTTGTTTTATATAGACATTGATATATTGTACATGTTTACATTTGCTTACCTCTACTGTTGGAAAATATTTCCCGTCTTTGTCATACGGACAAAAACAAGAGAAAGAATGTAAACACTACAGCCCCTAAGATGTGGAGGTGACCAGGTGTATAAAATGAGTGCTGTATTAAAGATTTCACCTTCTTACCGGTATACAGATTTTTTTTTTTAAATTGATGAAAATGACGACTGATAAGCAGTTCTAAGTGATGATATTCAAAGAGGTGTGTGTACTTGTGCCAAAAGGGCTGTAAATCAAGCAACGGTCTCACTGGTGTAGGTAGTAGGCTGCTAATGTACCAAACAAGGAGGTACTACCGTCTGGGAAGATATTGGCAGCATAATGTATTGTCTAATGGTAGACCCTGCTGCTATGTGACCAAGTCCCAGGTTGATGATCTGACTTTCTGCAGGGTCTCAATTGTTTCTCGTACTTTGACAACACAACATACATACAGATATATTGTTTTCACTCTTGATATTTTTTTTTTCATTTTTGTATTTCTTTATTATTATTATTATTATTATTATTATTATTATTATTATTATTATTATTATTATTATTATTATTATTATTACATTTTCACCCCCTAGACCCTAATGTGGGTCAGTGACCTGTGCCCAGGTGGGCTAAAACCCGTAATTTTTTTTTTTTTTTTAGAATTTCATTTCCAAAATCAGGGTGCTTCTTCTACGATGCCGCGTCTTCCAAAGGTAAATAAACACAGTGGTGCCAAATTTCACAAAGTACGCCAGCAACTGTACTTGTTATAAATGGAGGCAACTGTACTTACCAGATGCTTCTGGTAACAATGTACAGGGGTACCTAGAGACAGCACTAGGATCCTGTTTCCTATAAAATGGGATAAACTGTTTAAATAGAAATTGAGTAAAAAGGGCAGTTGATTGAAAAAATATACTGTACTCATATCATATTATATGCTAGTGATAATCAACTCCTACTAATTGAATTTTCCTGCTTTTTAAAGCAAAAGTATGAAGAAATTCCTTCATGTTCAATTTCTGTGTTAAGTCTACCAAAATGCAAGCAAGGCCAGGTCACCTTTCTATGATGAGTCACGTGATAGAGTTGAGACTGATTGTTCACATACTGCAATGCTTGCACCAAATGTCAAGGCAGCTGCATAAAGTGAAAGAGGATGCACCTGGGACGTACCAACGGTAAGGAGGCTTATCATATGTCCCAACGGGACGAAGAGACTGCATTGAATGAGACGGAATGTGAAAAGGACCTAGGTATGTACGTTGACAATGAACTGAAGTTCTCGGGCCATTGCGAGAAGAAGATAAACCAGGCAACTAAGATATTAGGTCTTATAAGAAGGTCGTTCAGATATCTAGATGATCCGTCCCTCGTAACGATCTTCAAGAGTGAAGTGTTTACTCGCCTGGAGTACTGTCATCCCGTCTGGTCCCCGAGATATGCTAGGGACTGTCAGCTGATTAACAATGTCCAAAGGAGGGCCACTAGATTGGTGTCTGCACTGTGGCTCCTCAGCTACCCAAAGAGATTGGAGTGCCTGAACCTGCTTAGCTTGTATTACAGACGGGCAAGGGGAGATCTGACTGAGGTGTACAAGCATCTCAGAGGGCACTACTCAGTCGAATGTCCTTTCCTGGAGCTGGCGGACACTCGCCCCACAAGGGGACACGGCTACAGGTTAAAAAAGCAACAAGTCCGGATAACCGTGAGGGGTAACTTTTTTGGAGTGAGAGTTGTGAACTCTTGGAACAATCTGCCAGAGAGTGTGGTGATAGCACCGAGTGTTAGCTCTTTCAACACCAGACTTGACCAACACTGGAGCAAGTTCAGATACATTCAGGAGCCAATGCATGCCCAGTACTTGCCAACAGTGTGTATCAGACGTAACCGATCTCCCAAGCGGCTAATAAGCTGATCAGTGGTGAATAGGATAAAAGTAAAAAGCTTGTAGAGGTGAGTGATTCCATTTTGGAAGGGATACAATACCTTAGAAATAACATCAAGGTTCTTGTGAAGTGTGCAATAAAATTCTTTCTCAATAAGTCACTTAGCAACATGACATTCACTTACCGGAAGAGACAACTCAGTGTCGACACCAATGATTTTAGCTAATAGGGTAAGATATTATGGAAGTAAGAAACAATCCTTGGATTCTGGCCAAAGAAAAGAAATTACTACAAGCACTGCACTACTATGCTCACCAAACTCAGCATTCAGTTCACCAAGGCATTTATCTAAAATTATGTAGTACAGTGGACGTTGTAAAGTAGCTTCACTATCAAAATCATGAACATTAGAATGTCCTATACTGTACAGTTGTTTCAGTCGCTGAGTCTTTTGCAAAGTACATTAGGGGAGTTTGTGTTTTTTGTAAGGGGAGGGGGGTTCTCTCAAACTCAAGCTGCCCCCCTTGTCTTACTCATACTTCTCTTGTCTTAGTTCCTTCAATTGTTCGGTC